ACTGGCTTTTACAGCTGCCTGTGTGTTTATCTCTACTGCATGTTTATTTCTGCAAATAGCTTCAAGTTACCAGCTGGTACCTTTCCAGCCTGCTGTACTCCCTTAAGCAAGTCTCGAAGAGCAAGTCTAATGGTAACAAACTCACTCAGCTTTGTTTATACAGTAATATCTTAATTTCTCCCTCACTCTTAAAAGGCAGTTTTGCTGGACATCAGATACTTACTTGGTTGACAGGTTTTTTGTTTTCTTTTAGCACCTTAAATACATCAGCCCACCGCCTTCTGGCCCCCAAGCTTCTGATGAGAATCTGCTGATTATCTCACTGAGAACCCTGGTATGTGACGAGTCTCTTTTCTCTTCTGCTCTCATGATTCTCTGTGTCTTTGGATCTCTACAGCGTGACTGCCATGTCTCGGTGTGGGTCTGTCTCAGTCCATCTCACACCTGGAGCTCCCTGAACTGCCTGAAGGTTCACCTCCACCGCTGTCATCGGGTATTCTTGTGGACCCACCCCTTTCTCCCTCTCTTCTCCTGCCCGGACTCCCACATGCACCTGTTGGTCCTCCTGATGCCTCGATGGCTCTGTTCACTCTTCTTCAGACTTTTTTTTTAAGAGACAGGGTCTTGCTCCATTGCCCAGGCTGGTCTCAAACTCCTGGCCTCAAGCGATCCTCCCACCTTGGCCTCCTGCCATACCCAGCTCTTTAGTCTTTTTATTCCTGTTTCTTGTACTCGGTCATTGCCACTGTCCTGTCTTCCAGCTTCTGACTCTTTCCTCTGCGTGCTCAGATCTGCCTTCAACTCCCTCTAGCGAGTTTTCCACTTCAGTCATTGTATCTTTTAGCTCCAGAATTTCTTTGTGTTCCTTTTCAGGCTTTGCACCTCTTTACTGACATTCCATTTTGTTCATACATTTTCTTGACTCTCCAAATCTTCCTTTAGGTTTTGAGCACATTTAAGAGAGCTGTTTTAAAGTCTTTACCTAACAGATTTGCCATCAGATCTTTCTTAGGGACAGTTTCTGTTGAATTTTTTTTCTCTGAATGGGCCATACCTTCTTGTTTCTTTGCATGCCTTGTAATTTTTTGTTGAAAACAGTACAATAATTTGGAAACTCTGGAAAACACATTATTTCCCCTTCCCTGGGGTTTGTTTTTGTTGTTGCTGTTGTTTATTGTTTTGGGTTTTTTGATAGCTGTAGGCTGCCTCTGTGCCAGGGGTCAGCCTGAGGTTTGAAATCAAGGTCTTCTCAGGCCTTTCCTGAGCCTGCACCTACCTTTCTCTGGGCACATGCCGCCACTTTCTAATTTTCCCTGTGTATGTATAGTAGCTTGAATGTCTGACTCTCAAAAGGAAAAAAATAGAAAAATGAAGTGGGAAGGAATAACACAGGCACCAGCCCTTCGACTCTCCTGAAGTCACTTGGGGAGGGGCTCACAGCCATGGGCGTGAAGGGCAGCCACAGTGGCCAGGGCTCTTTTCCTGCGCCTCTGCACTCAGAGCCCAGACCCTCACCACTGGAGAACAAGGTGCTCTCTGCCCACCGCTGGCTCCCACAAGCCGTGCGTAAGCTGCTCGAGGGGCAGAGAAGGCCGGGCTGCCAGTGCAGCACAGCCCCCACACTCAGAGCCGGCACTGACTGCAGCACGCTGCCCCGGCCTTTCCCTGGAGCTGCAAACCTCCTGGAGACTGCAGAGTTCTCAAACAGTGACATCAGACAGATCTACCAGCGCAGCACGGCCTGAGTGCAGAGATAGAGCCCTGATGTGAGGCTTCCTGCAACACCACCTTCCCAGAATCCTCTGATATAGGTTTTGGTGTGTTCCGTTTTTTGATTGTAAACTTCTACACTTTGAAAAGATACAGGACAAGCTGCTAACGAAGATGCCAATCCACTTTGCCAAGAGAACTCACATTCATCTAGAGACAAATCCTGCTGTCCTGGGAGCCTGGGCCGGTGCAGTCACCCCAGGCCTGGGGCTGCCATGCTGAGTGCACGCACCATGTTCCCAACCTCTGGCACAGCACGGAGTCTCCCAGCCCTGACACGGAGGAGTCAGGGGTGAGACACAGGTCCTACAGAATCACGGCTGCCTTGGACCTAAAACTAAGAATTTCAGCTGCCCCGGGAAAC